GGACCTTCCTCCTGGGGCCCCCTTGGTGCCAGGAGCTGCCCAGCCCTCTTCTGCAACCCACTGACCCTACCTTGGGCTATGACTGACTCCTGTCTGAGCTCTGATAGTGAGCCAGATTCTCTCCCCAACCTTGCTCCTCTTGCCCCCAGGTGGCATTGACCCCATCCTCCGGGGCCTCATGGCCACTCCTGCCAAGCTGAATCGCCAAAACCAAATTGTGGTGGATGAGATCCGGGAGCGGTTGTTTGTGCAGGTCATGAGGATCGGGCTGGACTTGCCTGCTCTAAACATGCAGCGCAGCCGGGACCATGGTCTCCCAGGTGAGGGGCTACAGGATCCCCCTCTCCTATCCCCTCTCCAGTGTCCCCAGCTGCCCAAGAGTTCCCCCAGGCCTAGCATTTTGCTCTTAGGAATTGGTCTGAGGTCAGGTACCTACCTCTCCCTGGGCTTGGCTGGTCCATTTTTAGCAATTCCTGTCCCCCTCTGCATTGCTATACCCCTTAAACATGGAGCGTCATGATAATAACACTGAGCCCTCTAATCCCCATAGACTGAAAAGCAGTTTCCATCATCATTTTATTTCACTTTATTTCACACAAACTCTGAGGGAAAGGGAGTATTATCACTTGCATTTTACTGATGATAAGCAGAGGATGGCTTGCTTAGGTTCTCCGGCCAAATCAGTGACAGAGTTGGAATTAGAACCCAAGTCAGCCTCACCTCAAAGCCTGTGCCTGTGTCATGGGTCAGCCAGTGTGGCTGAGCCTTCTAGACACACTTCACCCCGCACAGGCCTGAGATTTCCAGAGGGGGACCACGAGATGTTGTTCTTTTGGGGCCTGACAGGAGTAATGGCCATTCAGGATTTGCCTCTGGGTGGGAGGGCAAAGGAAAGGCAGAGAGGGTCCTGCAGTGACTCAGCTGTGCCCTTGGCCTGAGCCAAGGGTACAAGGATCCCCAGACGTTTATAGCCCGGGAGAAGCCCTTCTGTGTCCTCCCCGCCCTCCCATGACTCTGTATGTGACCTGGTGTATTAGAAAGCGGGGTTTTCTAATACGCACCCACACCCGCCTTTCCCCTCCCCCCACACAGGGTACAATGCCTGGAGGCGCTTCTGTGGGTTGCCACAACCCAAAACAGTGGGCGAGCTGGGCACAGTGATGAAGAACCTGGACCTGGCGAGGAAGCTGATGGGGCAGTACGGCACACCCAACAACATTGACATCTGGATCGGCGGCGTGGCTGAGCCCCTGAATCGCAATGGCCGTGTGGGGCCGCTTCTCGCCTGCCTCATAGGGAAGCAGTTCAGGAATCTCCGTGATGGCGATCGGTGAGGAGACAGGCAGAAGGGTCCAGGCGCACTGCGTGGCCCTGGGCCTGTTCCAAATCTCTTGGGGCCCCAGCTTTTTGTGCTGAAATGAAGGGCTAGAAGGAATCCGTGACTTTCCAGTATGTTGGAGGGGCTTCATCCCTAATGTGCTCTGAACCCGTTGGGGGTGCAGTGAGTGAGGAGGGACCTGGACTCCTGGTTGGGAAGGAGGGAAGACAGAGAAAATGCCCCTCTTTACTTCTCCCTTTACATCAGGGTGCAGCCTGAGAGTGCCGTCATCAGTCACTAGTGAACAGTCCCATCCTGGCTTCTCCTTTCATCATGGTTATGACAGCTGAATCCCTAGTTCTCACCGAGCCTGTGTTGTGCTTTTGGGAAGATTACATTCATTCATTACAAAAAGTGTCCTTCTCTGGGTGCACAAATTAGAAACGCCCCCAAGATTCTCTCCACCCCCATGGGTGCAGCTCTGGCTGTGGCACAGGCTTCATGGACGAGTGTGGGCCCAGCCCCCTGCCCAGCATTAGTGATGCCCCAGAGGCTGCTGGGGTGAAGCCATCTGGGTAGCTGGGCTTTATGCTGTGCGGTGAGTGAGGCTTCACTTGCTTGAAAACCCCGGGCCTCCTGAGGGTCTGCAGCGCCCCCGTGCTATAGAGCTGTGTCTGCTGTGGCCCTTTTGCACCAGAGGGTGGCTCAAGCCAGGTGATGCCCTCCCAGTCCAGAAGAACCTCGGGCACAGTGTCCGTCGATGTTCTCCTGCAGGTTTTGGTGGGAGAACCAGGGTGTATTCAGCAGTAAACAGAAGCAGGCTCTGGCCAAGATCTCCTTGCCGCGCATCATCTGCGACAATACAGGCATCACCACCGTGTCCAAGAACAACATCTTCATGTCCAACACATTCCCTCGGGACTTCGTCAGCTGCCGTACACTTCCTGCGTTGGACCTGTCTTCCTGGAGAAGCACAGACTAGAGCCTGGGTAAGGGGGTGCTCGGTGAGGTGAAGGCCGGGGACACCTGGGCTGGCCGTTGCAGCCACAGACTTCTCTTCCGTAGGCGAGCCCACCCCTGTTCTGGGTGCCGGCCGAGAAGACAGATGACTAGACATTCATTCATACGTGGGCACCCACACGCACAATGTATATATTCTGCACCATATGTGTGTGTTACCTGTGAACATGGGTACTGTGCTGTGTGTTGTGTACGTGTGTCACTTAGTGAGTGTGTGTTTGTTGTCTCAGTGAGTATTAAATATATGGAAGGCAGCAGAGTGGATTGGGGAGGAACACAGGCTCAGGAGCTGGGCAACTTGGGTTCAAATCCCTGTCCAGCTTCTTACCAGCTGTGTGACCTTGAACGTGTTCCTCAGCCTCACTAAGCCTGAGTTTACTGCTTTGTGAATAATGAAACAGTTGCTATTACAGCTGTCATGTCTCCTTACAGGGTTCATTTGCCTCCTTTAGTTTTGTGATTATTGAGCACTTACTAGCTGCCAGGTACTGTGCTAGGTGTGGGCAACGGAGTCAGACATCGCTTCTTCCCTCGCGGACGGCACATCTCTACACCGTCCTGGCCGGCAAGGTGAACCGGGAACCCCTGCAGGAACGGCTGTTGGCAGCTGGGCTGTGTGTGGTGGTCGAGTTATGGGCCCAGGCGAGCTGGGCTCAGTCAGTCCATGGCTCCCTTTTTCCTTCTTTCCTTCTTTACTCCTGCTGATTCGCAGGAGCTGCCTGGAGAGGAACTGGGGCACATTGGCTCTTTTGTATCATTTTTTTTTGTACCTGACATCCATGATAATAAATACAACTGATGGGGATCTTCCCTCGGTCTGTGTCTGCATGCACTGGGGCTAGACTCTCAGCCTAAGTCTTGCTCTGGGCTCTGAACTTGAACCAGTGTGGTCTGTGCCTCAGGGCCCTGTGTTTTCTGAATGGGGGGCAGGGTGTGTGTGCAAGGCCATCCGGGAGTCTTCCTTTGGCTGACCCATAGGTGGGAGGTAGTTACTTCTTCGACGCCTGGGGGCTGGGCCAGACTGAGAAGACCTTCCTCCTTCACCTTCCTCTCACACCACCTGCAGAACAGGAATGGTGGCCACCAAGTCCGTGTGCTCATTCATTGCTCTAGTAAGTATTTGCTGCGTGCTCACTCTGTATCAGGCTTGTGTCAGCTGCTGGGAAAGAGAGGGGACAAAATGCTGTCCTGCAAGGGGTCCAGAGCAGAGGTGTGGAGGGAAGGAACCTCCTCCTCCTGCATCTCTGTAGCCCGGCACGGTGGTTCCAGGGCCCTCACACAGGGGGCTCCTTCTAAGTTGTGGCTTTCTGTGGCCAGAGCTGCAGCAAGGGAAGGAGGGTATTTCCCTACTGCCTGGAGTGTGGCCCTTCTCTCTGAAAGGTGGGTTCCCTCCCCCTCCTTCCCACCTTTAGGGAGGGCCACTCACAGCTGAGAGCCGGAAAGGGTGTAGGGTGCTGGAGCTAATGTACCCATAGGAGCCCCAGGTCACATCAGGACCTCACCAGAGCGGGACACATACTACTTATCTTCAGTTCGCTGATGACAAGCAGGGTGCCTAGAGGTGTGAAGGGGCTTATCTGAGGCCTTACAGAAGTGGGTACTGGAGCCAGGGCTGTATGGAGCTCAGGTCTTCTGGCTCCTGGGCTCTTCCCACAGGATGGTTCGGTACCTCCCACCCTCACCCCCACCCTGCCAGTGGGGGGACTGGGAGGCCCTGCCTGGGCTGACCTTACCCAGGGGTTCAAATAAAACTCACACACACACACACACACACACACACACACACACACACACACATGAATATGCATTGGGTAGCAGCACGAGGAATATTCTGGAGGTGCCCCTTGGAGACCTGCCAGGCTCTGAGATCTACCCGAGAAGAAGAGGGTATTTCCCAGAAGGGCCTCTGGGAGGGAAATTAACTCTAGAGGTAGGGGAAGCCAGGCTTGGATTTCCTCCCTGTTTGATCCCCTGGCATCTCCCAACCCCCCTCTCTTTCCTTTCTATGGCCATTGTTTCTTTTCCTGGAACCCTCTTGCTTCCTCCTTTTCCTGGGGAACTTTTTGAAACCCACAGAACCATGCCCTGCTGCCCTGAGACCTGTGCACACATCTTTGTGGTGAGTCTGCAAACACCTAATATGCAGAGATTCCAGGGCCTGTCCTCCTGCCGGGAACAGTCAATCTTTAGTCAATCATTGGATGTTTATTGAGCACTTGCTGTGTGCCAGAGCTTTGCTGGGTGGTGGCACGGGAGAACCTCGGAAGCAGGTCAAGTCCCTGGTTCAAGGAACTTACAATCTGGTTGAGAAGAAATCAAGATAGATAAGGATGCAAAGGCCACAGCCTCATCCAAGACCCATTCCAGGAAGAGGGTGGGTGACCCTGGGCAAGCTAGACTGGAAGGGCATCAGAGCAGGTCTACACCTTGGCAAACGAGGACTTCCCCAGGCAGAGGAGATGGGAGCAGTGGATTTCGGGTAGAAGAGATGGGATGGCCAAGGCTTTGGCCTTGGGCTTGCGGGAGGTACGCATCTGGCAAGTGAGACCTGGTGAGAAAGAATGGCTGGGGCAGGGTGTGGAGGACTCAGGGCCTGACCACTGAGCTGACTTGAAATGCATGGTAGACCAAAGGGAGCTTTCCTGCACAGCGTGGGAGGCCCCTAATTCCCCACCGAGGCCCAGGGTGAGAGGTCCAGCTTCTCAATGGTTGAGCAGTCCACGAAGTCGTGGGGGTAGCTGTTGGTTTTGAATGGGTTCAGTGGGACCTTGGTGATGTGGGTGTTGTCACAGACAAGGCGTGAGAAGGACATTTTCTGTAGGGAGTCCCGCTGCTTCTCAGTGAAGACTCCAGGGTTCTCCCACCAGAACCTGCAGAAACAGAGGCACAGTGTTGCCAAACAGCCCAGCTATTGACCCTTCCCCACTCTGCCAAAGGGCAGGTCACTGGGAACATGCTGAGGTGTGGGTTAGCCCTCACACAGGAGGTGGGGACCCCACCTCAGGGAAAGGCCTGCCACTCTGCCACGGAGGTTTCACTTACCTGTCTCCGTCTCGAACCTGCTGGAACTGCTTCCCAATGAGGCAGGCCAGGAGAGACCCCACCCGGCCCCCTTCTACCGGCGGCTCAGCGACGGCCCCAATCCAGACGTCAATGTTGCTAGGGGTTCCATAGAGATCCAGGAACTTCTTAGCCAGCATCTTGTTCTTGAGCACAGTGCCCAGCTTCGCCAGGGTATGGGGCTGCGAGAGGTTGCAGAAACCTCTCCAGGAGTTATACCCTAGGACACAGAGGCTGAAGTTGTCTCATCCTGGGGACCACTTGCTGAAGCCCCCATCCCCTTGGAGACATACTCACTCCTGCCCCATAGTCCCAGAAAGTCTGGAGTCATAGGAGTCACGGCTTTTGGGACAGGGTTCCATTGTTTTCTACCTATAGTACTTCATTCTCGGAAGGGCCAGCAAGTGATGTGGGTCCTGGCCCTATTCTAAGCAAATATGCAAACTGAAGAACAGAGAAGTTAAGTAACTTGCCTAAGGTCACATAACTAGAAATGGCACAGGTAGAATGGGAACCCAGGTAAATTGGCTCTTAATCAAAATATTAAATAGCCTTTCTTGGGTACAAAAATATGGCCCCATAGTCATTGGTTTCCCTCTTTTCTCCTTTTTGTAATTTTTCTGGGCTTTCAGACTGGTTTTTCAAGTCAGTTGGTGATATCCTTTTCACTTGAGAAGCTCCAAGATGGTACCAAGATATGTTCTCTTGCCTCCGCATTAGAGAGAATGGAAGCCTCCATTTCAACAGATGAGCAAAATGAGTTTTAAAAACTGGCATGCCTGCCTTCTGTTTTAGAATTGATCGGATCCCCAGGTTCACAGAAGAGAGTGATCCCCTCAGAAACAGCTAAAAAGTGGCCCAGTCAGGCCAGACCCAGGCCCGCTCACCAGGCATCCCGTGGTCCCGGCAGCGCTGTATGTTAATGGCAGCCAGGTCAAAGCCGTGGATCTTCTGAGTGGGCTGGAACAGCTTGTTGCGCAGCTCCCCAGTCATCATTTTGTTCTGCTTCATCAGCTTGGAGTTATTGGCCAGCAGGCCCCGCACCAGAGGGTCAATTCCACCTGCAAGGGAGGCCATGCTGGGGATAAGGGGAGAGCAGGAACATCTTCCACCGCTGATCCCTCCCTCCGCCAGACATTATCTCTCAAGTGGGAGTAGGACCAGCTGAACATCTCAGGCTAAAAGTGGGGAGAGAAGAGCACAGTGCAGCCTGCAGGGTGTTCTAGGGGAGGGGGCGAGCACACTGCCTGCTTTGGGGGTGGAAGAAAGGGCCATTTCCAGCAAAGCAATCATTTAGAATGGAAAGGCAGATAAAGTGCTTCCCAGACAAGTCAAAGGAGTTCACCATCACCACTCCCTCATGAAATGTTATGTTATATGAAATGTTAAAGGGACTTGTCTAAGAGATACAAGATCAAAACTATGAACAGTAAAATGACAACAAACCAACCACTATCAACAACTGAACCTAAAAAACAAAGACAAAATCTAAGCAAACAACTAGAACAGGAACAGAATCCCAGAAATGGAGATCACATGGGGGGTTATCAGTGTGGAGAGGGAGGGAGAGAATGAGGGAAAATGGCACAGGGAATACGAAGCATAATAAGCAGGCACAAAATAGACAGGGGCAGATTAAGAATAGTATAGGAAATGGAGAAGCCAAAGAACTTATGTGTACAACCCATGGACATGAATTAAGGTGGGGGAAATGCAGAAGGGTGGGGGGTGCAGGGCAGAGGGAAAGAAAAGGGAGAAAAAAATGGGACAACTGTAATAGCATAATCAATACAATATACTTTTAAAAGAAGAAAGGGCCATTCATGAGATAAAGGCATGAAGATGAATTTCAGGACATTTTCTGAGCTCTAGTTCAGAGGTGGCCCCTTCTCCTTCCACAGGTTCCATTAAAGAACATTGCAATATAGGAGGGAGTAGCAGAAATCTATAGAAACTGGGCCAGGTCTCAGTTAAGGTGAGTTTCAGCACAACCCATAGAGGATAAAGGGAAGCTGGGTCCAACCTTTATTAATTAATGGAGATGGAAAGTCCCAGAGGGGAGTGAGGAAGAGCAAGTTATTTACCAAACCCATGAGTTTTTGTTTCTACAGATGTCAGAGAAGCCAGACTCGGGGAAAAGAGGTAGGAAACACCTGGTATCTTAGAGGCCAGATGAGGAAAGAATAATGACTCATATTTATTGATCACTTCCTGAGCATCAGGAACTATTGCAGGTTGCTGTACCCATATATTTCAAGTTTTTTGTATACTTTGGTGAGATAGGTCCTATTATTGTCCACATTTTACAACTGAGGAAACTGAGGCCCAATGAGGAGAACTGCCTTGCCCCCAGGTCACAGAGAAAGTGCCTGGAGCCTGACTTCCAAGCCAGGTTTCCCCAAAAGCAGGCTGTAAAGTGAGGCAGCCAGGTGGTGGCGCTTCCCTGAATGGACTTACCATCTTTGACTATCCTCCAGGTGTTGAAGAAGAGGGTGTGCAGGGGGAGGTCCGGTTCTGGACCCCATGGCTGATAGTTCTCATCCAGGCGGGACACAGTGTGGGGGACCTCCAAGTGGCCAAAGCGGAAGGCGAAGGTGAAGACATTGGAAATTCGGGGATCCACAGAGTTGTCATAGCCTTGGTATGGAGGGACCCACTTCTCCATCTCGACACCTAGCACAATGGGTAGGTAGTCCCTAAAGGTGATAATCTGGAAGGAGAAACGAGTCATGAGGAAAGGGTGTGAGGAGACCCAAACCTCTGCAGGGTGAGGTTGGAGAGGCACTACAGCCAAGAGGGATGCACAGTCAAAAATCAAGGAGGGCAAATGGATAGTACGTGTGTCCAATTCCCTTTCCCTTGACCTGGCAGACATTACTAATTGATCATGATGTTCTTTCTGTTGATCTCTCATGATTTGTCTCAACATAGGCTCTACTAATCAGTCACTTGAATTTGGCACTTGAGATGTACTCTCTGTCATCTTTGCTCTAAGTTTATGAACTTGAAGGTTAAGTGACAGTCCTTGTGTGTCACTTGAACATAGCCATGTTGGGTTTTTAAACTTTTTCCTACAGGCCAGGACAAGAGGAATGAAGAACCATAGTAATGGTTCACAGGGTAACCAAGGGAAGTTCATTCAATCTCCAGTTCTGAAAGAAATGCTGCACTTTGGAGAGGTCAGTTTCTGTTTTTGTTTTACTGAAAACAATGAACTAAGACAAATTTTTAAAAATTTGAAAAAATAATAAATTATGTCCTTGTGTAACACAATAATTATATTAATTTTCAAATATATTTTATTTTATTTTTTTTAATTTTTATTAAATTTATTTTTTAAAATTGATTATGCTGTTACAGTTGTTCTATTCCCCCCTTCATTCCCCTCCACCCTGCCCCCCCCATCCCCACCATTACCCCCCTTTAGTTTATGTCCATGTGTCTCAAGTCCTTTAGGTTCTATATTTCCCATGCTATTCTTGCCCCCCCCATCTATTTTCTATCTACTGTCTATGCTACTTATTTTCTGTACCTTCTCCCCCCATCTCCTCCTCCCACTCCCCTGTTGCTAACCCTCCTTGAGATCTTCATTTCTATGTTTCCATTCCTGATCTAGCTGTTCTTTTAGTTTGCTTTTGTTTTAGGTGTGGTTGTTAATAACTGTGAGTTTGTTGTCCTTTCACTGTTCATGTTTCTTTAACTTCTTTTTTCTTAGATAAGTCCCTTTAACATTTCATATAATAAGGGCTTGGTGATGATAAACTCCTTGAATTTGATCTTATCTGAGAAGCACCTTATCTGTCCTTCCATTCTAAATGAAAGTTTTGCTGGATAGAGCAATCTTGGTTGTAGGTCTTTAGATTTCATGACTTGGAATATTTCTTTCCAGCCCCTTCTTGCCTGTAAGGTCTCTTTTGAGAAATCTGCTGACAGTCTGATGGGGACTCCTTTGTAGGTGACTGTCCCCTTAGCTCTTGCTGCTTCTAGGATTCTCTCCTTCATTTTAATTTTGGCTAATGTAATTATGATGTGCCTTGGTGTGTTTCTTCTTGAGTCCAACTTTTTTGGTACTCTCTGAGCTTCTTGGATTTCTTGGAAGTCTATTTCCTTTGCCAGATTGGGGAAATTTTCTTTTATTATTTGTTCAAATAATTTTTCCACTGGTGGTTGTGTCTTTCCCCCTTCTGGTACCCCTATAATTCGGATATTGGAGCATTTAAAGATGTTCTGGAGGTTCCTAAGACTCTCCTCATTTCTTTGAATTCTTGCTCCTTGACTCTTTTCTGTTTGGCCATTATTTGCTTTCTTCTGGTCCACTCCATTGATTTGAGTCCCAGTTTCCTTTTCATCTCTATGGGTTTCCTGTGGAATTCCATTAATTTCCCTTAGTTTAGCCTTCATATGTTTCTCTAATTTGTGGCTATAGTCAACCAGATCTGTTAGGATCCTGATGACCAGTGTTTTAAACTGTGCGTCTGAGAGTTTTGCTATTTCTTCGTCGCTTAGATTTATCTCTGGGGCTTTGAGGTCTTCCTGCGACATTTTTGGTCTGTTCTGGCCCTTTAAATGTGAGAAGCGGCGCCTTGGACTCCCAGGTCGCTGGGTTGTGACGCTGTATGTGGGGGCGTGGTCAGAGCGGGGAAATGGCGGCGCCCTTTACCGGCGGCTGGTCCAACCGCCCACTCCCTGGCCTGTCCGCTCGCCCGCAGACAGGCAACCGCAGTCAACACGCAGCACCGCCTCCCCACCGTCTCCTCAGCAGTCGCTCACCCGGTGGGTCGCTCGGTCGCTCACTAGGTCCAACCCTGGGCCTGGAACCCGTGCGTCTGGATTCGCGCGTCTGGACTCCGAGCCTGGGTCCGTCCGACCGGAGCCCTCCCGTGCAACTCCTCACGAGATGCCGGTTTCGCCCCTTACCGGTCGGGCTGAAGAATTTGTTGTTAACGGACTTCCGAAAAGTTCAATTTTCCGTGTTCTGGTTGTGTTCTCTGGTGCTAATATTTAGTTGTCTCTAAACTTGGTTGTGTGAGAAGGCACGGCACATCCACCTATACCTCCATCTTGGCGGAAGTCCTCAAATATATTTTATTAATTATGCTATTACAGTTGTCCCAATTTTCCTCCTGTGCCCCCTTCACCCAGTACCCCCATTCCCTCCAGCAATCCCCCTTAGTTCATGTCCATGGGTCATGCATGTAAGTTCTTTTATTTCTCCATTTCTTGTATCATTCTTAAGATTTTCCTGTCTATTTTGTACCTACCAAGTTATGCTCCTTAATCCCCACACCTTTTCCCCTACTCTCTCCCTTCCCCCTCTCAGCCGAAAACCTTCCAAGTGATCTCCATATCTCTGATTCTGTTCCTATTCTGGTTGTTTGCTTAGTTTGTTTTTTCAGACTCAGTTGTTGATAGCTGTGAATTTGTTGCCATTTTAATGTTCACAGTTTTTATCTTCTTTTTCTTAAATAAGTTTCTTTCACATTTCCTATAATAGTGGCTTGGTGATGATGAACTCCTCCTCTAGCTTTACCATGCCTGAGAAGCACTTTATCTGCACTCCTGTTCTAGATGAGAGCTTTACTGGATAGAGTAATCTATGGTGTAGGTCCTTGCTTTTCATCACTTTGAATACTTCTTGCCAGTCCCTTCTTGTCTTCAAAGTTTCTTTGAGAAATCAGCAGACAGTCTTATGGGAACTCCTTTTTATAATTTTTTTTATTTTTATTGATTATGCTGTTACAGCTGTTCTATTCCCCCCTTCATTCCCCTCCACCCTACTCCCCCTCCCCACCATTACCCCCCCTTTAGTTTATGACCATGTGTCTCAAGTCCTTTAAATTCTATATTTCCCATGCTATTCTTGCCCCCCCCATTCTATTTTCTATCTACTGTCTATGCTACTTATTTTCTGTACCTTTTCTCCCTTCTCCTCCTCCCACTCCCCTGTTGCTAACCCTCCTTGAGATCTTCATTTCTATGTTTCCACTCCTGATCTAGCTGTCCTTTTAGTTTGCTTTTGTTTTAGGTGTGGTTGTTAATAACTGTGAGTTTGTTGTCCTTTCACTGTTCATGTTTCTTTAACTTCTTTTTCTTAGATAAGTCCCTTTAACATTTCATATAATAAGGGCTTGGTGATGATGAACTCCTTGAATTTGATCTTATCTGAGAAGCACTTTATCTGTCCTTCCATTCTAAATGAAAGTTTTGCTGGATAGAGCAATCTTGGTTGTAGGTCTTTGGATTTCATGATTTGGAATACTTCTTTCCAGCCCCTTCTTGCCTGTAAGGTCTCTTTTGAGAAATCCACTGACAGTCTGATGGGAACTCCTTTGCAGGTGACTGTCCCCTTAGCTCTTGCTGCTTCTAGGATTCTCTCCTTCATTTTAATTTTGGCTAATATAATTATGATGTGCCTTGGTGTGTTTCTTCTTGGGTCCAACATCTTTGGAAGTCCAACTGAGCTTCCTGGATTTCCTGGAAGTCTATTTCCTTTGCCAGATTGGGGAAGTTCTCCTTTATTATTTGTTCAAATAAGTTTTCCACTGGTGGCTGTGCCTTTCCCCCTTCTGGTACCCCTATAATTCGGATGTTGGAGCGTTTAAAGATGTTCTGGAGGTTCCTAAGACTCTCCTCATTTCTTTGAATTCTTGCTTCTTGACTCTTTTCTGTTTGGCCATTATTTGCTTTCTTCTGGTCCACTCCATTGATTTGAGTCCCAGTTCCCTTTTCATCACTATTGGTGTCCTGTGCAATTCCATTCATTTCAATTAGTTTTGCCTTCATATATTTGTCTAATTTGTGGCTATAATCAACCAGTTCTGTGAGGATCCTGATCAGCAGTATTTAAACTATGCGTCTGAGAGTTTTGCTATTTCTTCATCGCTTAGATTTATAGGCTCTGGGGCTTTGAGATCTTCTTGAGCCATTTTCGGTCTGTTCGCGCCCTTTAAGTGTGGGACTCCCAGGTCGCTGGGTTGTGACGCTATATGTGGGGGCGTGGTCAGAGCGGGGAAATGGCGACTCCCTCTGCTGTTTCGCTCCGCGGGGTGAGGAGTAGCGCCTTAGGTGGTTCACCATGGCCAGGCCACTCAGGGTCGCTGGGTTATGATGCTGCATGTGGAGGTGGGGTCAGAGCAGGGAAATGGCGGCGCCCTCCCTGCTGCTTGCTGTGGGGACCCGCTGGGTTCCGGTCCAATCGCCCACTCCCTCGCTGGTCTATCCACGCACAAATGCGAGACCACAGTCAACCCGCAGCCCTGCTCCCTTGCTGTTTCCCCGTGGTTGCTGCTTGGTCGCTCGCTCACTAGGTCCAACCCTGCGCCTGGATTCCACACACCTGAGTCCGTCCGACCGAGTTTTCCTGTGCAACCCTGCTCCGCCAGCTGCTGGTTTCGCCCCTTACAGGTCAGGCTGAAGAATTTGTTGTTAACGGACTTCCGAAAAGTTCAATTTTCTGTGTTCTGGCTGTGTTTTCTATTGCTAATATTTAGTTGTCTCTAAACTTGGTTGTGTGAGAAGGCATGGTATATCCACCTATGCCTCCATCTTGGCGGAAGTCTCCTGGGAACTCCTTTGTAAGCAACTCTCTGCTTTTCTCTTGCTGCTTGTAAGATTCTCTGTTTATCTTTAACCTTTGGCCTTTAAATTATGATGTGTCTTGGTGTGTTCATCTTTGGGCCCCACTTGTTTGGGACTCTCTGTGGTTCCTAG